ATTACCAAAAAAAAAAAAAAAAAAAAAACGACTGAAGATTAAACGAAAATCAATGAAATGGAAAATGTGAATTTTCCGGATCAATAGAAGATTGCATCATATGTATGTACATTTTCCGGAGGGATACATTATTATTTTCTGTCCAAAAAGATTTCGTTTATTGGAAAAGTGATCAAACAAATCGATTATGAAACATATCTACCAGGTTTATATGATAATTAAAACGTGAGAAAGTTTTTAATTTTTTAACTTTTTTGCGAAAGATTATTTTTTTTTCCTACAAAATTTAATTTTCAACCAAAAATATTTGTTGTAAAATTTGGGAAGGAACGAAGATGGAAAGAAGAAGGAACGAAGAAGGAAGAAGGAAGAAAGGATGTTTTGATAATATTCTATCAATTACATTTTCCGTTTTTTCCTTTTATCAAAAAATTCTTTCTCTTTTATTAACTAAATGAAAAGTTTTTCAAATAAGAGAGAGATTTTCAGTGAATAAATTTAATTTTCATTTTACAAGAGGTATTACATTAGTGAAAATATAAAAAAAAGAAAAAAAAAACCTTTACACTACATATTTCAGTAATTCTGAATTCCATGCAAGAATGTATATATTAACATAAACGTGATATGCGATGATAAAATTAACTGCTAGAATACGCTAATGAAATCATAATAGATGATAGATTATTCAGGAATAGATGACATATTATCCGGTTAATTTCTCATATTCATACCATAAACCTGACCAAGTAATTACTTGAAACATTCTAAAGATATCTGGGAATATTTGGGCTCATAAAAGTATTTTCAAACATATCTAAAAATTTCTACGAAATATATTATGCTTTAAAAAAAAAAAAGAAGCACAAAGTTATTGGTTAACTAAGGTATAGAGGTTAATTATGATTTTATTTTGATCATAGGAATTTATAATAACGAGTATAAATGTCACTCATTATTAAATTCAGGTTATTATGGACAATCAGCGCCAAGTTCGTCGAGTGATATTGCATGCGCATTTATGCGATGCTCACAGAATAACCCGTGTCATCGGGGAACATGCAATAATGGTTATTGTTGTACTTCCAACAGTGGTAAATTTGTTTTTCTTTTGCTATTATTTAAATATCATTTTTAATTTAAAATATAATAGAAATTAATTAATTTCAAAAGTATATTGCATAATTAAAATTCCAATAATATACTAATTTGAGCATCCTGCGACATTTTCGTATCAGACACAAACCAATTACTTTGATCAATCAAATTTCCTTTGCTTAAATCTGACTAGTGTACATTTGACCATTAATAGAGCATTAATAGCCATGGTTTCTAAATTAAACTTTAAATATTTTATAGATTTTTCAAAAATTTCCCAAACATATAGTTTGAAACAAAAATTCTCTTTCAGCTATTTATGATAATTAATTAAACAAGAAATTTAAATTTTATCATTTTAATGATATGATGCAGATGACTAAGAATGATAATTGGTTATCAATGATCTAAATGGTCATTCGTGATCTAAATGATACATTCAATGGGAAAATCGTTTATCAGAATTGGTTTAAAGAAAGTATAACATATATTTAAAACACAAAATATCGGATTACCAACCATTATCTTATTTAATGAGTAGGGCAAGAGCAATATATTGCTAATTAAAATCCCATTTGTTTTATGCAAATTAAATAACTCAATTAAGGTGCCACTTTTACAAGTAATCTCGATGCTACTCCATCAATATATCACCATCAATCATATCACACCAATCAATTTCCATTCTCAATGTCTAATCAAATGCAACCAGCATATAATCCTATTATTTTTAGTAAGCTTTCTGGTAAATTCATTAAATCAAATGAAATCACAAAAGTTTAATTTAATATTAAAAAAGGAAAATTACTTTTAGTATGAGATATGTAGTGAATTTTCCATTTTTTTCCTTTCATACAATTTAAAATTTCAATATTCTTTCAATTGAATGTATATTTAAATATAACGAAAGAGATCAGTTTAAAATTAAATTAAAAAATTGTAATAGATGGATGCCCAAATGGTGGATCACCAGTTGGAACCTGTATTAGTATGCGTTGTGCTCGTGGCTATATTTGCTCATCGGGTAATATCTGCTGTCCATCATACGATTATGGGATAATAATGACCAGTACTACTAATCCAATGAAGAATCCATTTCGTATGTTTAATCATTTTTCCATTACAATAATTAAAGTAAAAAAATATACATATATATATACGTGAGAAATAGAAGTGAAGAATAGCTGATTTCTCAAATTAAACCAATGGAATCAGTTAAGTTTAATGAGTTAATTTTTTCAGCGCATTAAATAAATATATAGTAAAAAGAAATTTTGCTGATATCATTTGACTTTGAGCCAAAAATACTAACAAATTAGATTTGACGTTGACGTTTTTTTTTTTTTTCCTCTAGCACATACTATTTAAAACCGATATTCTATTATTCAAATATATCCACAATTTCACTTATTCAAATAATTATTTTAGCAATTGATATGGAACATTTCTATGGAATTATCATAATAGAACAATTTTTTTTGACAAACTTTTCAAATATCATCATTTTTTTTCAACAAATTACCCATAGAAATGAGAAGAATAATTTAAACTATTTCGTCAAATTTGCCTAATTACAAACTTCTTAATAAATTTAGGGAAAAAATTTTTGGATATAAAATTTAATTTTAGAAAATTTCTGACTTTTTATCATTTCTTTAAAGTATGACGGAAAAATTTCATTTTCATTATACTTTAAAAGCAGTTCTTTTGATTAACAAATGTAATTGATGGGAAAAAAAGTGATAAATTAATTTGAAACATTGAAAGAAAATAAATTTCAGTTTGCACAGATGGAACCCAAGCAGCAGGAGCTTGTATTCTTGGCCAATGTGGCCAACCATTTAAATGCATGAACGGTATCATCCATTGCATTTTGTTGATGATAAAATAAGTCTATTTTAAATGGCTAATAAAAATAATTGCCATATTTTTTATGTTATTCATTTGCTTGAACAATAATAATTACGAAATTAGTTAACGAATTAATTTAAGCAAAATAAATAAATCAAAAAATTTAAACTGAATATTTAATTGATAATCATTGTAAGAAAAAAAAAATGAAAATATACGGAAATTTAAAGTTATGCTAAATACATGGAAGATGAATGATGATATTTCATTAGCATAATCAATTCTACCATTATCATTATCACTATCAATTATCATTATCAATTTTTTTATTTATCATTATCATTATCATTATCGATTTCTCTATCAATTCTTCGACCAATTGATGAAGCATCTATTTTTAGGTTTTAGACCTGATAACTATCGATATTGTATGCAAATTGTTATTACTAAATAATAATTGGTAGATGAATAAGAAATCAATGAGAAATAGAAGTTTTTTTTCAGATTAATTATTCGTTATTTTATTATCATAATTTTAGGTTTATGCTGTAATGTAACAAATAATACACCACGATGTCTTGATGGTACACCATCTGTTGGTGCATGTGTATTTGGACAATGTGGTGGAGATTTTGTTTGTACCGCCGGGAATATATGCTGTTCAGCAAGCTCTATCGGTATTTTTAAATTTTAATTTTATATCTCAAAAAATGTTAACAAACTTACAATCGTTTAAATATTGATTGATATTATCAGATATCATCAATGATATTATCAAATTATTGTTAGAGATATTATCTCCACTAAAATTTCGATAATTTCAATAATGAAAAAATATTTTTTTCTTTGCTTTTTTTCTTAAAACGATCAATTTAGGAATGTGTCCAAATAATGCCGCATCAATTGGTACTTGTATCAATGGCTTATGTCCAACTGGTTATACATGTATAAATGGTCAATGTTGTCCACAAACAAGCAATACAACTTTCCGTTGCTCTAATCCTAATTATGCTCTTGGACCATGTGTTGCTGGCCGATGTCCAGATGATGGTTTTCAATGTGATACGACGATAAATTCTTGTTGTCCGTTAATAGATCCTGTTGGTCCATGCATCGAACCAGGTTAATAATTTTACACAGTAACATCTAATTTAAAGAAGTTGAAAATTTAATTAAATAAAAAAGTACATAGCATCCTTTTTTCTTTGTAATATCATAACTTTGATAACTTATTATATCGTTTAATCAAACAACAAGTTTGAGAATACCAATAAATAGACAGATGTTTGTTTTAAACAAACCAAAAATCTTAGATAGCTAATCACTAATGGTGATTATCAATAATTAATCACTGATAGTAGTGATCATCAATAGGTATTCAACACTAATAGTGATTTTCAATAGTTTATCACTAATAGCAATCTTTAATAAATCGTTAATAATGATCTTCAACACATATAATATAACCTAAATTTGATATCATCACTCTGTCAATGTTAATGTTAATGATTCCTGTAACTTTTGCTATTGTTTTTAATGCTCCCAAATTCATTTGCATTACAGATGACCAATGTCCACCTGGTAATAGATGTTTTAAAGAAGGTGCAAGTCCACAATGTTATAAGGAATGTGGTAATCGCGGAACGATATCTGGTTCTCCGATTGATGGAGCATGTCCAACAGGAACCACTTTGATTTTTGGTTACTGCTGTATCTTAAAAGCACGATTGTATAATCCAATACAAGCATCGTTCTTTCCTGAACGGCATACCGATCACTATTCATGGCCTATTGCTTCCGGTAAAATTCTTAAAAAATTTCAATTTTAAAAATATATCCAATGAATTAGTTCAAAATGTGTCCTCAAATTTAGATAGAAATGAAATTATAACAAAAATTTTCATCTCTTTGCAAAATATAATTTTTAAGGAATTAGATCATGTCCGGATAATACCGAAGCTGTAAGTGCCTGTATAAATGGTCAATGTGGATACGGTTATCAATGTTACAACAATGTTTGCTGTCCTCCGCAATACACCAATTTTATGCTTCCATTTTCATCAAGTACAATTCATTTCATAATTTTTCAATTACTTCTTTAATTATTCAAATTATATATCTTTTCTAAATTGAAAAAAGGAAAAAAAACTGAATTTTGACCAATTTCTGTTCAACACCTGTCATTTGATGGAAAATATTATTTACAGAATTTGAAGAAGAAATAATTAGTAGAATATGTTAAACGACTATTTGAACAGATGTTTTTCAACTTTATTGACAAATAAACCTTTTCAAATTTCACCTTCCTAATGATAGCAATAATCTTTACTGATAGAACATACTAAATTAACAAAATGTTATTGACATATTTTTTAAAAGAAAAATATTAATTTTAATTTGAAATTAACTCTAACCTCAATAAATTTTAAATGTTTTAATTTAATTTGCCTAATATAAACTTTCAATTATCAGTAAAACTTTTTCAATACAAATGATTAAATAATAGGAACAAATTCATTTTTCACTTTTTTAAAAAACTGGAATTTAACAAAAAAAGAAAAAATTTTAAAAAATGACAATACATCTTTTACAGCATTAAGACCAATAGGTGGTTCATGTGAATTTACGCAGCAATGTATGAGTTCCATGGAAGGTTTATCAATTTGTGAATTAGGTATCTGCAGGTGTTTGCCAGGTGCACAAGTCAATGGATTTTCATGTATTAGACGTTTCAGTTAGTTTTCCTCTTCTTTTTTTTTTGCTTATTAATTTCATTTCTAAAAATTTTTCCTCAGAAATTTATTAAATTTAAGCAGGAATTTTTGTAATTCAAACATTACACTTCCTGATGATAATTTCTGGAATGACATGAAATCTTCGACAATTTCAACAAATGGATCATTAGGAGGATAAAGATGTCAAATTTACATATTGGTAGCATTGATACAAATGTTGCTATCAACTTTTACTAAATTTTAAAATTAAATTTTAAATATTTGAAATATTTCGAACATGAAATACTTTGAAGATTTTAATTAATTTTTCTTTCTGTTCACTTTATGTTATTCAGCAATAACATTGCATCATGCCCGAAAAGGCTACGTTATTACTTTATCGGTGAATTTATTGAATTCTTAATTACAAATTCGAATTCGAATCCTACTTGCAGGTATACCACTGAACGATGCAGGACAATCATCCGTAAATGGTACTTCAATAAATGAGCCTGACATTGTAGTAGCTGATAACTGATGAATGAAGGCCAGAATAAAAATGTTTTTTTTTTTACCAGAGCTTTTCTGAGTTTTAATTTACAAAGAATTGCATATTTTCATTTACGGAATATTTTAAATCATTTTTTATAGTTTCCATCAGTTTTTGAGTTCTCTTTTTTCTTTTTTTTTGAAAGTTAATCCTTG